TTAAGGACAGACCTTGGGAATAGAACTCATTCTTAAACTGGGGACTACCTGTATTTATGATTAGACTTTTCCTCCTTTTGTTCAATCATGCCTTTTTTTTTTACATAGTGGAGTATCTTTCTTCCATTCTTTCTTTGCATCTCTTCATGTGACTCAGGGGTCAAAGATCTTTGAACCTCCCAACAATTCTCAACATCCCTCACCATTAAAGATACCAGCTGAAACTGCTGGGAGATGTACACCTGCAACATCTGGAGAGCTGCAAATCCTCCCCACTTGCCTTCAAGTTTAACAGATTGATTGTGCATGAGCGTTCAGTGGGGCAATTTCTGTCCCCAGTTCCCACAATAAATGGCAGCTTTACGCAAGATTCTGATTTTAAGATTGTTTGCCTCTTAAAGACAAACCCATTGCAAGTCATGATATCTAACACTGGATTGAACAATGGAACTAAGAGCAAGTTTAGTTGCTAAGGAGCATTACTCTTGCCAGCTAGGGTCTAAAATGACCAGAGTCCTAGAACAAACAAACAGCAGTTTTCCTGAACAGTTAAGAAACACCCCTGGAGTTTTCCACAAGAGGCGTTTTCCCTGATGTTGCAACTGAGTCGTGTTGCCAGCAAAAGTTGGTAAAGTGCCTGCAAAAACACACCGCGTAAGCTCATGGCGCTGAACAGCATCAGACATTGCATAAGAACTGCTCTGAAGAGAACTAATGTAGGAAATTAAAGAAGAAACATCAAGGAAATATACTTTGTCAGAGTCTACTCTGAAACTCATCTAATGCTTGTGACATCTTAACCAGACTTCTCCAGACTGGTGCCTCCAGCTGTGTTGGAGCTGGACTTCAGGTCATTGAGTATCAGGTTGGGGAACGCTGTTATAAGCTGCTTTTCCTTCTCTCCTCTCTGCTTTTGTGAAAGCTTCCCTTCACCGTGATTACAATAGCTAGCTTTTAAACTAATGCTAGAAACCCTGTAAATTAGAATTCGAATTCGAACTGTTTAGCATTGTGTCGTACAATTCAAACCTAAGGCTGAACCCTTTCTAAGGTAATAAAAGGAAAGAGATTTTGCGAAAGAGGGAAGTGGCAGGGTACATTTCTAACTGGCTGAGACGGAACCATAAAGGGTGGGGCCCCACCAGGCCTCTCAAATGATTATGGTACCCAAATGAAAACATCCCACAAGCCTCTTTTCTACTCCATCCCTGTAAAAATACATTAAGTATAAATGAACAATTAATTTTCTGCCTTCTCATAACAAGGGAGCTGCCTCACTCTGCCTGCATTAAATGAATCCGTGACGGAGCATAATACAAATTCAATCATCCTTAATGATAAGATGGTTCTTAGAAACAAAATGGCCAAATATTGATGCCCTTCTCTCATGCAAAGTAAAAACAAACATTTTAAAAGCTCACTTGCAACATCTGTTCAATTTCTTTAGCTTGCTAAAATGTATTACACGTTAAGGTACACAGGGGTCAGTTAGCCCATCAACTTTTATGTGAGATGGGCGGCCATATAAATACAATAAATAAATAAATAAATAAAATCAATAAACAAAAACTTCATTTTATTTTAATTTTACTTGCTGGTTTGTTTGTTTGTTTAATTACCTAATTAATATACCTAATTAACACCAGCCTCTTGGAAATATTATAAAGAAAGTTTGTTTTTAGCATATTTTAATGAATTAATATTTATCTATTTTAATTCATGTTTATTCTATTTTTACTGTAAACCGCCCAGAGTCACTCCACAATGAGATGGGCAGTGACAAATTTGAAATATAAATAAATAAATAGTGCACAAGAATAAGAATATATCATTGTACACTTTTCAATTCTCCACTAAGGCTTAAAGTGCACCACATAACCTCTTATATTCTCAGATCAAAAACATTCTTCTGCTGTAATCTGAGAAAACATAGATGGAAAGATTTGGCAGCTAACTCAAGAACTTGGCTCTGTGGCTGAGATTTGGACAGAAAACAATGAGGCCTTCTTCTGTGGAGAGGAGAACAGCCTGCACCTAGGCAGCAAGTATTTCTGGAGGAAGCCAGGTACAACAGCAGAATAGTCATTTTCCCAGGGAACATCTGGGAGGAGCTCACCCTCGCTGGGTGTGAATGGTGGTGGAAGCTGGTTCCCTTGATTATTGAGATAGATAGGCAATCATAAAAGAAAGGCATAGGTATTCACAAACAAAATAGCTGTACCAACTGATAAACAGGGCATTAATAATTGTTTTTGGAATGTTTGATCTATTATTTCAATTTCAGTTGCTTAAGTTAGCTGCATTTTTATGACTGCAGAAATGACTAAACAGTTAAAACTGATGGCATTGCTACAATGCAAATTCACAAATTAACGATGTCATTCTCTCAGTGCCAGTCCTACCATTGGGCATAGTAATGCAACTGTCTCAAGCAGAAGATATGGGGTGGTGGCTGCAGAGTGGGAGCAAGTTAATGGAGGATAGACCTGTGTTAGAGCTGCCATGGATCCCCTAAGCTGCCTTGCCAGTGCTGAAGGCAGATTCAACTACTGGTCCCTATACATGGGAAGGAGAGGGGAATTTTCCTGTCTTCTGCTTTAATTAGCAAAAGTCAATTCTGTGTATTCTAGCTGCATTGGACTATAGTGTCCCATAGTTCACAGCCAGTGAGGATGATGGTGGTTCATACTCAATAGTCACTAGCAAGCAAATTTACTAGCATAATTGATATATGGGGATCTAAATTCTTGGTGACTGACATTCCAGAACAGCCTGAGGAATGATAACAAAAAGGGAGCAGGATGGTGTCATTTACTTGATTAGGGCTAGGTTCTTTTCGTCTGTTTTTTGGGGGGAGGGTTATTTTTTAAAAATGATGTTTAAATTTATTTTAGGGTTTTCTATTTTCATGTACAGTTTCCTACTTTAATCCGGCAAGAGCATGCAAAATGGGGTAGGTTGCCAGTAATAAGTTTGGTAGCATGAGTCGAGTGATAGCTGACTCACCGTGTTGATTAGCCTTGTCAGGGTGTAGGTTTTCCCCACATTAAGGATTGTTGCAGAGTGTTGATTGCTGTAGCCAGGAAAATTGGGCAGGGTTCCTGTAACTCTGGTGAGAAAAGAAGCGTTCCTGAAACGCTGTCTTTAGTACAACTATTCAAAGTAAGTCAAGGCCTGTTTTATACCTGGTCATTATAAGTGTAATTTCTGGTAAAGCATAACTCATCCCTTAATTTCCAGGTGCTGTGCTATAAACAGAGATCTGTGGTGAGTGCTCGCTCCACATTTGTATGCTTTAATTATAGATTTGACTGGAATCACCCTCCTACATTGTTGGAGGATCTTGTTGAACTGGTTTGTGCTTTAAAAAAAATCTAGGGAAGCAATGCCATGTTTCTAGAGAATAAGAACCACAATGCAAAATAAGGCATGAGCTCCTTTCCAATCTTGCTGAAGATTCCAGTACTTGATCAGGAAATTTGAAGGAAGAGGGAGATGACATATGGCCTGAGCAGGACAAACTGAATTGTGTCTTTGCATCTGCATGATTCCACCCTCGTTATACGTACAGTGTGCAAGTAGAATGGCATCTAGGTTCCTATGCTATATCTTTTAACATTTCAGAACAATTATGATCATATGCATCATATGAAGGTACATGATACCAAGCCTTCCCCATTTAGTTTTCCAACTATTGTGACAGTGTTCCAAGATCTCACTTTGTCAGAGACCTTTGCTATCTCATAGTATTTAACAGTCCAGTTCAGGGATCTGAAGTGTTTTTAACGAGGCAGGATTTGGAAAGAATCCAGACCAACTTTTTTAGAGTAACTGTGTGACTGAAGAGAGCAGGAGAGCAGATTCCCCTCAGCCACATGATTTTGATTTAATAATAGTCATCAGTCATCATCGTCAACCTATCATAATTCTTTTTGTTCTATGCCAATCTCTTTCTTTTGAAGGGAGGAACATCAGGCTCCTTGAAGGTAAGCCTCTTGAGTATTTTCTGATGCCTGCTGGGCTGAAAGGCTGCACTGATAAGGGAGGAAGGATGGGTGGAAGGATGAGGGTGATGACAGACAGAAGCTGATGACAGAGAAAAAACTAAAGGCAAAAGAAACTGCAGCCTGGCTTCTAATCAGGCCTGTAAAAACTCCCTCATCCTTCACTGTAGCTTGACCTCAAACCAGCTTACTGACCACGCAGAGATTGAGCCACTCTCTGAAGCCAGATGCTCCATGATGACACTAACTAAAAAGTCTATTCAAGCCCATAGATGGGAAGAGAAGAAAGAGGGGACACCAAATCTAAGGGCCCAGATCAACAAACCAAGTGAGGGAATGGAACCTGAATGGGAACTCCTGGGAAACATAGGAGAGCTCCAGGCATCTGATCCCCCTCTACAAAAAAATAGATTCTCAGCTGGGGAAACTATTGCCAGGGCGTAAAAGAGCCACCAAAGAATGACATCCTGTACTTAACCAACAAACATGGATCTAGATTAATTGTTCTCTTGCAATACAGAGCTCTGAATTGGCCAGACTGTACCCTGGAAAAGACACCAGGGGCATCTTTTGCTGGCCAGGAATGTATGTTGATACTTATTGCTTTTGTGCCTGTTGTGCTGAATGACAAAAATCACAGTAAGAAGGGTGTGTTTTTTTTTTTTTTGCTCCTCCTTTCCCCTGCAAGCAAATTACTAAGCCGACAGCAAGAGCTTTTTTCAGTGCTCCAATGAATAGGACCAGTCAATTACAAAATCTTCATATCTGGACATTGCTTCTCCAAGTAAACCTGGCATATTCACTTGCTTAAAGAATGGTAGTGCTGTAGTAGTATAACTTCACTGATTAGTCAATTGACCATATCAAAACAATGGGCACCAGCCACAATAAGATACAATAAAATGAAATAACGTAAGATACAGTAAAATAAGATAAAGTAAGGTAAGATAAAGTAAAGATAAAAGAGTGAGATAAAATAGTGTAAGTGTATCTTACCTTTTTTTTCAATAAAGTTATGCTACTGCTTAAAGAATGGGTGGAATCCTCAAGTCAGATTCATTCCAGTTTGATGGAAGGGTAGGTTCCTGCAAGAGACGAAGAGGAGGTGCTATGCCTATGTGTCCTCTGTTAGGTTAACTCTGTTAACCTAGTTAACCAAGTTAAGTCTGCAGCTGTTTTCACAAGATTAGCTGGGCTGGCTCTTCTATTATACATTTGCATCATGGAGCAATCATTGGAAAGCTAGGGCATCAGTTTCAGTCTCCTACTTCACTGCTATTGAAGACCGACAGTGTTGGCATGTATATAAACTAGCTTGCTTCCTCAAGTGTGGGAGAAGACGTCCCCTTTGTCTACTTCTGTCTTTGGAATAGGAAGCTCATCATCTTGTTTTTTGTCTCAGGTAGCAAAACATCTGGGCTTAGCTCTGCACACCAGATTTAAAATGGTTCTTTCAGTTGTTTCATATAGTTCTGCTTTCTCTTCCATATGATTGATCGATTGATTAATGTAAGCTTTGTAACACATCCCTCTGGTGCATATCGTATGTTTATATATGTAGTAGGCAAGAGGCTTGGTGTTTAAGCTCAAAACTCATCATCCAACTATACAGAAACTATTTTTTTTTTTTAGCATTTTCAGCATTTTCATGCATCATAGAACTTTCCAAAAACCAGGATCTTGAAAATCCCCTTAAGCATTCATTATGAAGTAGTTTTGAAGAATGTTTCTGGTCTGAAGAATGTGCACTTATTAAGGACTTTTTGTGTATAGGGAGTCATGATTGTTCCTTGACATTGCATGGAAATGTTTTAGTGTGCAATTGGAATGTTTTCCTTGTTATTATTGTTTCAGACTACACTAAATCACCCCTGGCAACTCATCTAGGTGTTTGGAAAGGTCATATCTCTCTGACTTTTCCCTTCTTAAAAATAATGTCATTCTTTCTGTTATTTTTTAAAATTACATTATTAAAAATGTTGCAAGCATTTGAAATGTATTTTTTGTGAGTTTAGAAGAACAGAAAAAGAGGAGAAATTAAACTGGAGACTTATGAAGAGAAGCTCTAAAACACTTTTCTATGTTTGCTCAGGGTACAGAATAACTTCTGAGTTTGTTGCAAAATAAATAAGAAGACCTTCAAGATGGAACTGTAGTTCAGTGGTAAAACACATACATTGCATGTGGAAACTCCAAATTCGGTACCAACAACTCCAGGTACAGACATACATTCCCATCAGACTATTGTCTATCAGGATAAGCAACATTATGGAGAGTACAGAAAATGAGTAAGAAATCATAAGACAAAGAAATTAGTTAATAAAAATAAAAGTTAACTAAAACTAGTTTACACCAATACCATTTACTATGCCTGACTATGACTTTTTATCCTTGTAAAACCGTATTTATTTCCATCATATCCACACATGATTTTACACATTGCCTTTGTGTAAAAACATTGTCCTTTAAATTTCACTTCTTTTAAGGTCCTCATTACTTCCATCCAGCCATGACTTTCTTGGTCTTCCGCTTCGTCTTGACCTATTCTCTATGTATTTGTTCTATGTCTGTTCTCATTCATTTGCTCCCCATATGACCAAATCATTTTAAACTACTTTTTACTTGTCATTTTGAATTCAATCCCCATTCATTCAGCAGCCATTCATTCTTCATCTTGTCTCTTCTTGTTTTAACCACCCACATTTCTTAAGTGTTCCACTCCCACTGCATTCATAACTACCTTGGGCTTTGATGCATAATTTTAAGATCCATATTGCTCGTTGCTTCATACAGTCTATCTAACATTCACAGCAAATTTAATTTCTGAGCCAACAACATGGCATCATCTCCATTCACTTCAAGCAGAGTTGGAAAATGGTCCTAGAAATCTGAGAGTGCTGCTGTCAAATAGGGATAAGTAACCTGTGGTTCTTGGGCTACATTGGATCTTTTTTTGCATCCTCCAAAACCCCAGCTGGGTTCCTAGAACCTTTTTTTGCATTCTCCAGAACGCCCAGTTGGGTGGGGCTGAAATACTTTTTACTGGGGAACGGAGGTAGGTTAAAGGGATGATATGAATGTCTTAAAATCTGCAGAGTTTAAGGCATACAAATGTCATGACTTAAAATACTTCTTTAACTCCTTCAAGACTTCAACCGTCCCCATCAGCACCACCCCAAATCCCAAATGAACAATTCCAAAAAGTTCAGCCTTGCCCATTCTGATGATGTCATAATGGCCACACCTATGCCCTTTGTACCCCCTAGGCATGTAACAGAGAAAAGTATGCCCCGTAAAGCTGCAGACAAAAACTACACAAGGTGCATTGACAACCTGCCTTGGTATAAGCTGCTTCACATCCTTCTCTATCAGCAGCTTCCATATAAATTGATAGTGGTCGTCTCCTTTTGTGGGAGATAAACAGCCCACTAAAATGTGGAGAGAGACTCCCTACTTACTTCTTCCAACTCCTGGGCTGTCTCAGTACCTGCCAATAAGAATAAGCCTAGAGAAGCTATGCCTGAGCTAGCCAAAGGCTTATCTAGTTCAATGTCTTTTTGCACTGATTCCAAAGTTTTGATTGCCACTGTGACTACAGTAGCCCTTTGTAGTCTCATATTCTAAGAGTTTGTCTAAATCCCCTTTTCATCAAGTGAGTCTTAATACTCAAGATTTGTTAAAATAATATTTTTTCATAAATACTTAAGGTGTACTCAATATGCTTCACAGAAAGCAAACATTTTAACTAGAGTGGGCTGGATCTGAATTAGATACCTGATGTAGATCTCAGTGAATCCAATGGGACAAAACTTAGCTTCATTCTGGTTTAAGTCCAACCATTTACAATGGAGATTAACAGCAACTATTTGAGCCTGAATCCAACCCAGAAAGAGCATGGTACCTGTTTCAGTTTGTTTAAAGGAAGAAAAACTCTCTGGACAGCTTTCCGAAAACCATACCTAGATTTGTTGTTTTAGGATGAATTCCAACCCTGCACACATTTTATTTGGGTGGAAGCCCAGATCAACCCAAAGAGACTAACCTGAGAAAGCACAGCTTTGATTAGTTTGACCTGATGGCAAATAAATTAAGGAGGTTTGGACAACACACCCCACACATTTAAAGAATATGTTGCAGGGTCAAAAGGCTAGTCTTAGGCCATGTTGACCACATATTTGGCTGGCATGTGAAGAGGGTCCATATGTTCATTCCTTTGCCATGTAAAAGGAGACTCTGGCTATTCCATTACATTGGATGGAGTCAAATGAACTTCTCAGGACAGAATAATTAATTGGCAGTTTTCACCCATTCTGAATAGATTTCAAATCTAGGACCTAATTTTGGAAAATATGGATTCACTGCTTATGGGGGGTAGGGTAGGGAACTGCCTATTAAGGGGGGCTAGTACAAAGTAGGTTCAGTATTTGAAATAAATAGATGGATCAACAGTTTTCATTCAAAATAGCAAAACTAATCCCAACTTTTTGTCATTAGTTTGGTCCCTTCACCTCAAATGGACCTAAAAAATAATGGACGAGTAAGGTTACACTTGACCTGGAGTATAGTGGGAATAAGGGATGGCAGCTTAAATGAACATTCTTCTCCTGGGCCTTTCAATATTTTAAAAAGAACACACAGCCTTTATTCTTTTCTTTTCTGTGCAACAAAGCAAATTAAACTTTCTGTCCTGGGGACCACACAAATAAAAACCCTGCTCTTGCAGACCCATGCAATGTTACCATGCAGCTTTTCTGAAAGGAAATGGGAAAAGCACCTTTGCAAGTAGCCATTCCAAGGGTTGACAATACAGCATTTCTGGACACCAGTACATGTGTGACACTGTATTATTAGGATTCGTATTATTAGCATTATTTGCTAAAATCTCATGATATTGACACATTTCTTATTTCTACTGAAAATGCTGAACTACAGTGAATTTTGGCAATCTTGTAAGACATGGGCTGTTCTTTTTTCTAACAACATTAAACAATGTCTTTTTCATTGATTTATTTTTGGCACCTTTGCTAAACATCACATGGTTGAAGCCACTGTATGGGCAAACGGGTTTAGACAAGCAGCACAGAGGAAGAGGCTGCCTGCATTTTCCTTGTTATCTTTCTTTTTCCAATTCTGCGTGGGCTGTTTTCTGTTTCAAAAGTGCAACGAGAGAAATCCTGCCTGCATCTGATGAAGTGGACAGTAATCCTTAAAAAGCCAGTTCTGTAGAATCTTTATTAGTCTTTAAGGTGGCCCAGGATTCTTAGTCAATCACACAACATAATTTCTAATCCACAACTTATGTCAGCTTTTCATATTTTGCAGGGCCATAAAAAAGTTGAAACTTTCCCTTTTTTCTACATTTCTCACCTAGGTCAGCAGAAGTAAGATCATTCCATCTGCCACATGGCAATGGCTTTGCAACAAAGATTAATTTGGGGGGAAATGCTTTCTAAAAGTTCACCTGCGAGCCAGAATTGCCCATTGGGAAAACCTGCATAGTTCTTTTTGTGACTTTGCCTCTGTTTTAAATGAAAACTTACCTTGCACTGTTCCCCCCCGCTTTCTGAGTCAATAAAGGGAAGTAGTATCTGCCTGGAGGCACACAGCAGCTTCTGCTTGCTTAGGACAGAGTGGGGAAGTCTGTAGTGATTCCTGGCCATATATCAGCTGGAGCGAAGAAACAGGAAAGGGAGGGTGAATGGGGGAAGAGCTCTGATTTTGCAAGCCTGTACATTTAAGAATGGAGACAGAATTTCCCAACAAAGGTCTTGGGGAAAATCCGGTTCTTGTCATTGGGCAAGGCTTGGTCAGGGCTTCTTCCTCTACGCAGTGAGAAGTGTCAAGCTCTTGGTGCCTTGCCTGCTCTTGTTCAACCTTCCCTCTCTTGTTATGTTCTTGAAAGACAAAAAGACAATAGTCTGACCACAAGAACAGTCCTGTTTGCCTTTTCAGTTCTGTTGTTTTTAAAGGGAAAGGATTGCTTAGAAAGAAGATGAAGGAGAACACATATTTGCTTGACACTGACATGTGCTGGTTTGTATAATGAACTTTCCTATCTGGCTCCTGTAGGCAGCCATGTGTCTGCAGACACTTTCTTGCCAGCACTCCTGCCCCATTCTACCATTTAGTCCTTAAAAAATAAAAATGGTACATGGCTGCAGAAAGAAAGAAAAACATAGGCTGGAGACTATTAGTACCCTGTGGCATTTTGTGGACAACCGAGCCCACCCAGAGCAACTATTTTCTTTGAATGTCCCTCCTGCCCCCAGTCAAATGTGAGTAACAGCCCCAAAATGTTGGGAACCCTTCATATAGATGCGCATTTAGGAACAACCAGTATAGTTTAAATAGAAATACAGTGCAATATAAACTGCAAGCAAGAGGCATGTACCTGAAGAGATAGACTCATACAAAACCTCTCTTCTTACAATTCTTCATCCTGAACTAGTTGTAGACTACACAGCCCTTGAGCAGCAGATACTTTAAATGAAGAACTAACTGTCTTCCATAAGGTAAGACATATGGTAATTCTAAATTGTGTGTGATTATTCCTTTGGCTCCTTTACTTATTTTTTGTCTGATGCGATTTTATATTCCACTTTTCCTCTGCAAAACTCAAGGCAGAGAACATAGCCCCACTTCTAATTTTATCCATATAACAACCTTGTGAGATAGAATGGTCTGACAGAGAAAGTTGAAATCTGAACACTTGTGCCCTTCAAAATGGGTGGTCCTTGCCTTAAGTCGTCATGCCTGAAGTCTGAATCTTTTTCTTGCAGAAAAATAAATGAATGGATAGCCTTAAATTATTCAACTTATTACAGTTGAACCTTTAATATCTCCTACAGCTTCCACTCTTGTTTCTTACTTACGGATTTTTCACTCAGATCTGAAATGGTGCCCCTTAGGAGACCATAACCACATTTCTGTTATAGGACAGTCTCCTGCTACCCCACTTGCAGCAAAGAGGTGGATGAAAGAGACACGGTATGCTAGGTGTGCTGCACTTGGTTGGACCACATGAGTGTACCAAACTTTCCAAGATAATGGCTTTCTAGACAGAAAGTGTACAGTATGCTGAAACTGCTACGGTTATACTTTGTACTTTTTGTCTGTGTGTTTGGAAAAAGACGTAAATCAATGGTAAGGCTATTCACTACAGCAGTTAACAAAACCCAAACATACCATGGATTTCTTTCTTTCTTTTTCAAGATACCGTGCTATCTTAAAATAGACTTTGCTCCAACAGGGGTGGCAGCAATTGAAGGAGTCTGCTGCTGTCTACCATCCTGACCTAGAAAAGCATTTTTTTTTTTTTTTGTCTGCGCTCAGTCATTGCTGACCCTGCAGTGACG